TTTCACGTAGTATATCATTTCGAGTTTTGTCTTTTATTTATTTTTATTTGTCTTGCAGTGCATAGGGTATGATTTTTTATTGTAATATGTGAAAACAAGAAAGATGTAGTCTCAGTTTTATAAGAAAAGGTGCTTTTGTCAGCAGGCTAGTTTGTTTTTTTTTAATAAGAAAATAATTACATCATTTTCCAATAAAAGAATATGAATTGAATGGGAATACTTTTATGAAAATGTAATATCATTATTACAGGTAATTGCACAGTCCCCAACATGTGAATTGCAAATACTGAATGCCACTCCAGAACAGATAGCACAACTTCAAGACACACAGGAAATAATACTTTCTGAAGAACAAATTCTTGCCCAGTCAGAGGTAAGTTTCTCAGTGTTATTTTGGCTGTAGTGTTGGTGTCAGTAACAGTCTTTCATGGTTCTTATTGTTTTACTTTTGAATGATGTTGATCATGCTTAACCTGCTGCCACTGGGGATGGCATGTATGGATGTGCAAAGTGTGTTTAGTTTCTTAATTGTACGTACATGTAGATGGCTCCACAAGTGTTTAGTTATCAATGAGTCCATCACTAGTCCAGCTTATATCATCTTTTTACCCTTTTCCTTGATTTTCAAAAAATATATTTGTTATTAGTATGTTTAATAACACTGTAATAATTATAGATTCAATGATAATGATAAAAACATCAATATTAATAGCATTAGAAAAAAAAAGAGAAATCCTGAAAAGTCAAGAAAGAGGAAAAGACTATTAGCCGATGCATAGACTGTTAATTGACTCCTTTGAGGACGGGCACTTGTGATGCCATCTGTGTAGATACATTTCAGAAAAGAATACAGTGAACAACACTTTTTCTTGGCATTGGCAGATTACTGTTTCTGAATGTATTCATCGTTTAACCCAATGCCGCCGGGGAAAATGAACAAAAAATGGGGAAAATGCTGTGCCTATTTTCTATGTTTTTCGTGAAATGTCTGCCGATAGATGGCTCTGCTAGTGACTGATTTGAAATGGCGGGAAAAACGTATTTTTCACTAGTGCTATGAAAATCAATGGTGTTATTTTTATCATAAACATAATTTTTATAATGTTTTTTAACATTAGTAACAGCAAAATAAAATAACGTAAAATATTTTGTAAATCAAAGAAAAGGGTAAACAGGCGAGACAGGCAATACTCGTAACTGGCTCATTGGGGAGTTAGTATAAGTGTTTCCATCTATGTGTAAAAACAATCAAACAAGTACTCACGGTGGGCATAGCACATACGTATACGTCATACCCGTCGGCATTGGGTTAACTGTGTTAATGTTTCTTTTCCAGAATGTAATTAATATATAGAGAAAGCAAGAAACAGAGAGAGAACTTTGAAGTGAGGCATGTGTGTTTGAAGAAGTAAGAGCGAGTATGTTTGTATATTTTTATATATTTAAAAAAAGAAAAGAAGAAGAATGAAAAATACATATATATATATACATATGAGTGAGAGTGAGTGAAAGTGAGTGAGAGAGAGAGAGTGTGTGTGTGTTTGTGTGTGTTTGTTTGTGTGTGTGTGTGTGTGTGTGTATTCATATTTATGTTATATTATAGTCATACTTATTTAACTTGTACATTTTTTTTTATGTAATTCTATAATATATATATATATATATGTCTGTGTGTTTTCTTTTTCTTTTCTTTACATATGATAAATCTATTTTTTTTTACATTATGTAGGTTTAAAAAAATTAACACATCTATCACTGTAAGTGATGCACTTCCCCAGGACTGATCCATGCTTGGTCATTATCCTCCACAGGGTGAAAAAGGTGTTCTTATCAGCAACTCTTCATCAGTGTCCATGAGTACCGAAGTCATGAGCGCTGAGGAACTTGACCCACTGTCAAATCAGGCCTCATCTTTAGCTGTAATGGACGACACACATCACCGCATCACCCTCAAAACAGAGCCAGAGCTAGCCATTTTGGATCAGCATGGTATACTGGCAAGAGACTCGGAGACTGATGACTGAAATCACGTTGAAACAGTGTTGGAGGAACTTTCCTTTCTTCTGTTACTTTTGGTTATTTATTGCATTCCTCCCTTTTCTCCTGCCTAGAGTTTCTGCTCTCTTTCATTGCATGAGCCATAAAGATTCATTCTTTCTCTGAAACTTATGGAATTGATGGCAATGTCTTTCATTGCACGATGCATTGCGAATAGGATTTGAGAAAATGGCAAGATACAAAAGTAGTGTAATAAGCCAAGTCCTCTGATACTGAACCATACTAAAATTCAGACACTTGCTCTGTGTTGTGCCTAATATGAGGAGGTTGTTTGGATGAGGCGTTTGGTCTATTTTGAGTGCCAAAGAAATGCAGGTAATTCTAGAGCTAGCAAAAGAAGAAAAAACATTAAATCAGTACGAGTTCACTTGATTGCCAACAGGAGCACAATTTTAACACAAATAAATCACTATTGATCAATGTCCAAAATACCAATATTATAATTTTGTTTAGTAAGTACTTCACTATGTTTCCATTTTCATTTAGCTTAGTAATTAGGAAACATCCAGAAACCTAGTTCCTATTATGAGACCTGCTTCAGTACATTCAGTATTCATTAAGCAGCATATCAGTGATTGTTATTTAACCGTAAGCTTTAAGCTCAATAAGTGATAGTGTTTACTGAATTAAGGGGAAAATATTGCTTGTAAGAATTTTGGGAACTTGACATATGAAGGTTGAATGTGATGATTGGAAATGCTCAGGGTTTCATTGTTCTTCCTCACATTTTAAGTTTCAGATTGGTTGGTTGATCTTTGGCTGTTTACCTATTAAGTGTAAACTTATAATCAATATATTTTGGGTAAATATACACAGTGGGTCCATCCAGAAATAATATTTAGTGAAGTAGTTCATTGTGTACCACCAGTTGGTTAAAATTGTAATGAATAAAGTCTGTTTATGTCAGTAACCATAGTCAAATACAAATAATGTTTTCATTCATTAGCATATAGCATATAAGAACAGTAATTCACGTTCTGAACACGGCAGGTATGCTCAGTCAGCATATAGTTGTAAATTTGTATCTCTTTCTAATTCTTTTCAGCTGAGCATTTTGGTTGGTGATCTGTCTTAAAATGTATATGATTGTTACAGTGATAATAGCTGGTATAATAAAGACTTGCACAAATAATTGGTGCAGGTTGAAAATGCTTTTATTTTTCCCAAAAATAACAATACAGTCTCTTATACTTTCATTGTATATACTCAATATGCTGAAACAAGACTAAAACATAAAACCATACTTTCAACATCAAGGATATTTAACACTTGACATGAAACTATGATTGCTTTAGAGGCCTAACTTTTACACTATGTTGTCATTTGTATGAAGTAAAAATTATATCTTAACATTTCGCAGGTCATAAACAATGTAATTCAAGCCCACATCTGCAGTTCTGTATAGTTCATTATTTACCATTCCTTCTCTTCCACAGGATATACAATTTTGCCATGACTGGAAATTCTCATTTATTTTCCTCCTGTAATATGAAACTTGTACCTGCATTCTTGTGTATTTCCTCCCACTTTAAAAGTTCATGTTCAACATTTTTTTTATCCTTTCACACTCTGTAACAAGACCAAATATTTTCATTTAAATATTTTTCTACTGAGAAAACTTTGCTCATTTCACCTCGCTTTCTGAAAATACTACTTCTCACACAAACTTATTCATATACTAAAAGTCTGTCAGTTTGTTTGTTTTTTTTAACATAACACATACAAAAAAAAAGAAGAAAAAAGAAGTGCCTTAATAAGAATATGACAGTGCCTATAAGAAATGGAGCATCACAAAGTTATATATATATAGATATATACATATGGTCCAGGAGGAAATCTGAATACATGCCTCAAATTTTATATATACAAATGAGCTAAGCAAAATATCAGAAAAGAAATGTACTGTATTTATTTCTTAAAATAAAAAAATAAATAAATAAGAGGGGTTATCTTAACACGTACTGTACCACAAATCTAAGAGGAGGAAAATGTATGAACAAAATCATTTGTCTTCATCGTCTGCAAAATCTTCACATACCTGATCTGTTGCAGCACCAGGTGTGATTTTCACTAATCAATCATTCAATCAATCACCTGATTTTCCTTGCCTTTAATATACTGACCAAGCATTTAGTTTCACAATATAAAACCTAAGAATTTCTTCAAAGTTGCAGTGTAATGAATTTTAGTGTAGTGATTACAGTAGGATTTTTTTTTATCATATTTTTTATCTATATTCTAAAAGGATGTTTGTAAAGTAAAGTTGAAGACTGAAAGGGCCAAAACTGAATTCAAGATATAAAGCAATATGAAAATTAGTTCAAACACAAGGATTCTTGAGCAAACAATGTGCAGTAAGATTTACCTATCAAATCAATACTTGTTTTTCAATAACCACATCTAGTTCCTTACAATTCTTGTTAACTATAATTTAAGTGTAAGAAATTAATATGTCTGCTCTTTATAAGACATTTGGATACAAAGTGCTACATACTTTATCCCAAACAAATCTAAAACCTGAGTTACAATCATGTTCTTTCTATAACATAAGTAAATGATTGTTCACTTCTTTACAATTTTAAACAAAAAATAATATCTTGGCAATAATACTATAGTATCATTTTTCTTTCTTTACTCAAGTATAAATAGGCTGAATCCTCTTTAATGCCAGTTCCCTCAATTATAGTTCCATGATCTAATAAAAGAAACAGTATTTGGTATAAGGCCTTACACCTGTTTCCAACCATGTGACCAACACTCCCCTGTCATCTCACAAGCAAGACAAGTGTATTCTTATTTTAGTCTCATATATTATTCTCCAAATATAATTTTTCCAACTTCCTTCTTCTTATGCTAACAACCATTCAGCAGACAAAGAATCCACACTCTATGTATGAATGTTTAAAGAAATGATGCAAAAAAGGATAAAAAAAAAATATATATCTCAAACTTGCTACTTTCATCTATGCATTGTGGCAGTTACATAATTAGACCATAAAAGATATTCTGGAAAAAAAATATCCTTCTTCCAATGTATAATTCTACATGTAATCACAATTCGCAACAATGCTTCAATTATTTCTTTGATGTCTAGCACATATATTTTGCTTTTTAACCAATAAACATTCAATTATATCTCTTACCCTGCTTGAACAATCATAGTGTCAGCCACCACAGATTGGTTTACTCTTTTAAAGCTAAGCATTATCTTTAAAAACATTCCTCCTAAATATCATACAAAATTTGCACTTTATTAATATTATCTGAAAACAAAGCTTTTACTGCATTTTACTTACATATACTATCAATGGCCCTAATACACTTAGGAAGAGGCAAGTTTGGTACATGGTTCTACACGACTGCACAAACATTCACACAATAACACTTGGAGAAAATGAAATCACTTCAAATGACACAAATGAATACAACTGATTACAATAATGAAAAAATATTCATGGTCTTTTCTCCTTTTTTCCAGAAAATAAACCAGCATTACATACATTGTGATTCAGAGATACACTAGAACTTCTCAGTAACATATATCATACTGTTACAAAAACGGCTTTTCAATATGATACACTGATCACACTGTGTTCATTGATATGAAATCAGCACTCCCTTCACAAAAAAATGAACTATAAAAAATGTTCCTAATTAAAATTCTGTGAAGTTACTTGCTGCGAATCTTTCAATGTCGTCGAAGTTCATACTGTCCACCATTAATTGGCAATTCTGAAATAAAAACAACCAATGAATCACCACAGACATACCCACAAGATGATACATAAATAGCAACCAATAGACAGAGAGACATTATAGAATTTAAATTTTCATAAAATAGCTATCTGTTTCATCAGCACAGATCCGAAGGAAGGACAAAAGCTTCAGAAATCCCGAACACCAAAACCCCTTACCTTTCTGAACTCGTTGACAACCTGCGTGGTCTGTTCTTGAGTTAAATGTTTCCGAAGAAAGGTGTCTAACTGTGCGAAGAAATCAACAGTGGGAGTGGATGATACACTATTCGAAGAGCTTGCACCTAGGGACGGAGATGACAACTCTCCCTTTTTGACCATGAGATGAATCTTCGCTCCATCAGTTATGCCTGCTTCTTCTAGGGAGGTCTCATCTGTGCACAGGAAATTTTGGAAATACCAATAAAGGTGATTTCTAAACGACAAAAGTAACCATATCAATGATGTTAATAAAAGCAAAAATAGTCATAATAGTACTGGGGGTGTTGATGGGGTAAAAGTAAAGGTAGGGGTAGGGGTAAGGGTCAGGGTTAGGGTTAGGGTAAGAGTTAGGGTAAGGGTTAGGGTAGGGGTAGGGGTAAAGGTAAAGGTAAAGGTAAAGGTAAGGGTAAGGGTTAGGGTAGGGGTAAGGGTTAGGGTAGGGGTAAGGGTAGGGGTAGGGGTAAGGGTAAGGGTAAGGGTAAGGGTAAGAGTTAGGGTAAGGGTAAGGGTTAGGGTAAGGGTTAGGGTTAGGGTAGGGGTAAGGGTAGGGGTAGGGGTAGGGGTAGGGGTAGGGGTAAGGGTAAGGGTAAAAGTAAGGGTAAGGGTAGGGGTAGGGGTAGGGGTAAGGGTAAAGGTAAAGGTAAAGGCAAGGGTAAGGGTAGGGGTAAGGGCAAGAGTAAGGGTAATGGGTAATGGGTAAGGGGTACGGAGTTGTAGAGGGGTAAGAGTAGGATCGGTGTTAGAAGTGATGGTAATGGTAACAGCAGTAGTATTGGTGTATTGGTAGTGGTGGTAATATTTATGATAGCACAACTAATAGTAAAGGTAATTGTTACAGTTATAGTAGTAACAGTTAAACCATAGTGACTATGATTTAGCATTCCAAAGTGTAAATTTCCATTTTCTTACTCACCTGAGATCCTTAGTAAAACCATATAATATTTTTTTTGTATCAAATCTATCTTTGCAACATGAGCAGGAGATGGTGGAAAAAAAACAAAGATAGACAGAGGTTTGATTCTGTGAAATGTAATATAATGAAGGACAAACAAAATGTAACAAAAATGTCAATGTGTTCTAAACAAAGAAACTGGTAAATTGGGAAATAGTGCAAACCAGCAACATCTGCACTCAAAACAACAGCCACTCCATGTTTTCTATTTCTAGCATGACATGTTAATAGTTGATTTTGTTATAATATACATATAAATAAAAGATTTACCTGTCAGTGTTTTCCCTCTAAATACAAGTCTCTGCGCGCTTGGTGATACATTAAGGATTATTTCAACTTTATCCTTTAGATCACGAATTCTAGTAGTTCCAGATACCTAAAAGAGAAGGAATATATCACATACCAAAAACATACAAATCATTTTAAAGCAGTTCTACCAACAAAGAGAGGTTCTTCATTATATATATATATATATATATATATATATATATATATATATATATATATATATATATATATATATACATATATACATATATACATATATACATATATACATATATACATATATACATATACACATATACACATATACACATATACACATATACACATATACACATATACACATATACACATATACACATATACACATATATACATATATACATATATACATATATATATATATATATATATATATATATATATATATATATATATATATATATATATACATACATATATATATACAAATATGTGTATATATACATACATATACATATACATATAAATATATATGTAGACATATGCATATATAAGCATATATACATATATATACTTATATATATACATACATAAATACATACTTACAAACACACATACATATATGCTTATATATACATATATATTATATGTATATATGTGTATATATATGTATATATACGTATATATGTATAAGTGTGTATGTGTGTGTGTGTGTGTGTGTGTGTGTGTGTGTGTGTGTGTGTGTGTGTGTGTGTGTGTGTGTGTGTGTGTGTGTGTGTGTGTGTG